GCAGCACAATACTGACTAGAAATTATGCTACAAAGCTACTGTGATAAAAACAGGTTCATACTGGCAAAAAAATAATCAGACCCAAGGATCAGTGGAACAGACTGGAGGATGCAGAAATAATTCCAAACATACTTAGCAACCTTATCTTTGACAAATGAGCCAAATAAGCTTTGGGGGAAGAAGGATAACCTGTTTAACAAACGGTGCTGGAAACACTGGCCTTCCACATGCTGAAGATTAACACTTAGACCCATATCTTTCACCAAGCACTAAACTAAAATAAAAATGGATCAAAGATCTAAACATTAAAACAGAAACACTAAATCTGCTGAAAGATAAAATAGGTAGAATTCTTTTTTTTTTTTTTTTTTTTTTCTTTTTGAGACAGAGTCTCACTATGCAGTTCAGGCTGGCCTTGAGCTCACTTTGTAGCCAAGGCTGGCCTCGGACTCTCAATGATCCTCCTGCCTCAGCCTCCTGAGTGCTGGGCTTACAGGCATGTGCCACCACACCCAGCCTTTGATAGAATTCTTGAAGGGATTGGTATAGGCAAAGACTTTATGAACAAACCCTGATTGCACAGGAAATATCACAAAGAATCAACAATTGAGATTTCATCCTATTAAAAAGCTTTTGCACACCAAAAGAAACCACCAACAGAGTAAAGAGACAACCCACAGTGTGGGAAAAAAAATTCCAGCTATTCCTCAGAGGACTAATATCTAGAAAATACAAAGAACTAAAAAAAATCAGATCCCCCCCATTTAAAGGTCCAATCCAAAAATAACCACCTGAGATGAATGGACATTTCTCAGATGAAGAAGTAGAAACTGCAAATAAATATATGAAAAAATCTTCAATATCACTGATCATTCGAGAGATTCAAATTAAAATGGCACTGAGATTCCATCTCACACCAGAAAGAATGGCTATTATCAAGAAACCAATCAATAACAATTGCTGGTAGGGCTGTGAGGAAAAAGGAACCTTTTTCCACTGTTGGCAGGTTTGTAGACTGGTGCAACCACTGTGGAAATCAGTGTGGAGATTCCTCAAAAAAACTAAAACTAGAGGTTGCATTTGGCCCAGCTATTCCCCTTCTTGGGATCTTCCTTAAAGAATTTAAAACATCATACCACAGACACATAAGTACACTCATGTTTATAGTGGCACAGCTCGTAATAGCTATATCTTGGAAACAGCCCAAATGCCCATCAACTGATGAACAGATAAAGAAAATGTGGGGTTTTTAATATATAATGGAGTACTACTCTGCCATAAAGAGGGATAAGCTTGAGACATTTCTAGCTAAATGGATGTACTGTGAGACTATACTCTTAATAAGTGAGACCCACATGTTTAAATATTGCATTGTTTTTTCTTGTGTGAGAAACTGAAAGTGTAAATAAGGAAGAAAATGTATAATAGATATTGGGAATGGGAAAAAATGTTCAGATGAGAAGGGGAACAAGGGAGGGGAAAGGGCAAAAGGAGGAAAAGACAAGAAAAAATGTGAGATTAGAAAGAAAAAAACTGGAAATAAAGCTTTTGTGAATAGGAAGGGGAAAAAGGGTTGAAGGGAGTGGAAGAGAATGGGATAAAACAGCAAGGTGTATCATGTAATGTATAAATTCCCTGTGATGAATGTTATCATTATGTATATCTGAAATGTACCAATAAAAAATAAAAAAGTCTGCTGCTCATGCACTACATTGAATTTTCATCCCATCTATCTTTGCATACTTTCTTTTCATACTTTCTAATTATTTTCCAAAGTGGTCATTTATGTCTTATATTGCCTTATTTAACTCAATTAGTTCATTGTTTCTTCCTTAATATCATTGAATATTTTAATGGCAAAGTTCTTCTTCTGTTTAATGAAATTTTCTTTGAGCTTGCTAAATGTCCTATTCATTTACTTATCTTTCTTCATTATCTTTTCACACATTCTGTCCATTTGGTTTGTGAATTCTTTGCTTGTAGCTTTCTCTGTTTCAGTGCCTATATTATCTGCTTTTAAGAACGTCAGGGAAAATACAAAAGTTGTCGGGTCATGGAGGTTTCCACCTCAATATCAAAGGAGGGCCTGAGAGCCAGACAATGTGTGACAGGTCTGATATTCTACGGGCAGCCCCTGAGAGGGTTTTGTATGAATTTGTGAGAATGAAGAAAAAGCTGCAGGGGGCACCTTAGGAAGTTAAAGATGGCAGGAATGTGGAAAACTGCAGGCTGTAAGCAGACCTAACCTGAGAGAGAGGGAGAGACAGAGAGATAGCTAGAGACAGAGACAGCCACAGCCCATTTGAGCTGCAACCAACAAGGCCATGGGGGCAGGGCTATTCAAGTCTTGAGGAGGTCATATGTCATTATTATGCACCCCCAGATCCCAGTCAGTGAGAAACAGGTCTTGACATTTGCCCACTGGATTTCAGTCTTGCTTTAGTCCCACCCTTCCTTTCTATGTCTTCATTCCTCCATTTTGAAGGAAATGTTTACTCTGTGGCATTTTATCTTGGGAGTATACAACTTGATTTTTTATTTTCACTGGGACTCACAGCTAAGACTTTGCCTTGGGTCTGAGAGGAGACTTTGGACTTTTGAGGAACACTGGAACTGTTGAGACTTTTGGGACTCTAAGAGATGGAATGCAGTTTTCACAGTGAGATGGACATGGCCTTTGGGGGTTGGGGTGGAAATTATGGTTTGGACTTGAAATGTCCCCCAACAGAACTCATGTACTAAAAGCTTGGTTGCCTGCTCAAGGGCTTTTGGGGAAGTGATTAAATCATGGGGATTAACTTTATCAGGTGAATTAACCCATTGATAAAATCATAATTTCACAGCATTATTGGGAGATGATGGACCAAAACATTCAATACAAGCCCCACAAAAATTCAAATCACTTTTCTTGGGTAGACGTGGAAAAGTCAATCCCCAAATTCATCTGAATTCACAGAATAAACTTACTTTGATAAAGAAATCCACAGTTGGAGGATTCACATTTCCTAAACTTCAAAATATACAAACAGAAATATATCTGTTATAATCAAAACACAGTGGTACTGGCATAAGGATAAACATATAGACAAACGTAATACAACTGAGACTAGAAGGGGCTGGGGATTTAGCTCAGCAGCACAGTGCTCGCCTGGCAAGTGCAAGGTCATGAGTTTGATTCCCGGTACCGGAAAACAAAAAAAAAAAAAAAAAACTGAGACCAGAAATAATCATGATGGATGATAATCATCCAGTAACCAAAACACAGAAAGAGCTCTTACAACTTAACAAAGGACAACCCAATTAAAAACTGGACAAAGGACTTAAATAGACATTTATCCAGAGAAGATATATAAAGATCCAACACTACATGAAAAGATGCTCAACACCAGTACTCATTAGAAAAGTGCAGGTCATAACCACAGTGAGATGCCACTTCATAGTCACTAGGATGGCCATAATATAAGAATGAAAATAACAATTGCTGATGAAGTATAAAGAAATAGAAACCCCTTTGCTTATAGCTTTCTCTGTTTCAGTGTCTATATTATCTGCTTTTAAGAACGTCAGGGAAAATATAAAAGTTGTAGGGTCATGGAGGTTTCCACCTCAATATCAAAGGAGGGCCTGAGAGCCAGACAATGTGCAACAGGTCTGATATTCTAAGTGGCACATGCCTGTAATACCAGCATTTGGGAGGCCGAGGCAGGAAAATTGCTGTGAGTTTGAGGTCAGCCTGGACTACATACGGAGGACAAGGCCAGCATGAATTACATAGTGGGCCCAGTCTCAAGAGAAAAAAAGAGGGGCTGGGCATTTAGCTCAGTGGCACAGCACCTGCCTGGCAAGCATGATGTCGTGAGTTCAATTCCTGGTACCGGAAAAAAACAAAACAAACAAAAAAAAAAAAAAAGAAAGAAAAGAAAAAGAAAAAAAGAAAGAAAGAATAAAAGCAACCCTTGTGTATGATAAGAATGTAAAATGCTATAGCTACTGTGGAAATCAGTTGGTGGTTCCTCAAAAAGTTAAATGTATAATTATCATATTGCAATGGCAAGCAGAAACACTGAAACAACACCCAGGATTTGGAGGCAGATTTATTTACATCGACAGGCACTGAACGGGATCATTCCAAGAATATCAGGTCCTGATCTCTGGTGGTCAAGAGCTTATATGGGGTAAGCAAACAGGAAGTACAGAGGCAGAACAGCTTATCAATTGGGGATTGGTTTATACAGTGTGCCTCATAGTGACCAGGTATGCATCACAATGACCAGCTGTTTCTAGGAGACAGAAGGAGCCAGGAACTGGAACAGCAACTACTACCTGGGCAACTAACAAACTGAAGTATAGTGGCTGGGGCTGTTGGGGGGGGGGCATTTTCTGCTACAATATGATCTAAAAATTCCACTTCTAATTACAAACCCAATAGAAATGAGTCATATGTCCTTAAAGATGGAAAATATATCACATTAGATAAAATTCTTCGAGGAAAGTGGAATGTAACTACAAATTCAAAAAGGAGTTCACCAGGTTTGGTGGTGCATGCCTGTAATCGCAGTACTTGGGAGGCTGAGGCAGGAGGATTGCTGTGAGGCCAGCCGGAGGGAAAAAGTGAGTTCCAGGCCAGCCTGAACTGCATAGCAAAACCCTGTCTCAAAAAGACAAAAATGGGTTGAAGAGACTTTTAAAACTTTCTGAACGTTGTGGACTGGCTTAGTCACTTTTTTTTTTTTTTTTTTTTTTTTGAGACAGGGTCTCACTTTGTAGTTGGGGCTGGCGCTCAACTCTAGATATTCCAGGCTGGCTTCGATCTCGTGTCAATCCTCCTGCTTCAGCCTCCCCAGTGCTGGAATTACAGGCATTTGCCACCACTCCCGGCTTAGTCATGTATTTTTAAAGAGATGACATGTACTCAGCCACTGTGATATTTAGATTCCATTTGATACATTTTAAGGATTGTCACAGACACAGCCAGACATTCCTTAAAGCTGTAAAAATAAATTTTATTCAGTAACTACTGACCATACAGGAAAGAGCCAAGCTCCATCCTGATCTATGCAGAGGTGCCTGGATGTCTTAAAGAGAGACTGAGGCAGTAGGAAGTGAACAATGACAACGGGTTGATCCATATAAACGCAATTAGCTGCTGTGTCCCCAGCGGGCAGTCAGTCATAGCTAGGACTCCATCTCCCTAGAGACGGACACAGGCACCATACCTCCGCTGGTTGTATTTCAAAAGAATGGCACTCAGGGCTTTCAGAGTGACCCTGCTGAGCTGTAAGAGATATACAGCTCCCACGGCAAGCCCTTTTTATTAAATGCTCAGGAAAGAAAGCTCAAGAGCCTGTTGGCCGTCTAAGGGTTGGCTCTGGTTGGGGTCGTCCCGAGTGCGCTGGAAGCCGCAGGCCCGCACCGAGGGAGGGAGCCTTGCACCGAGACTTCTGCCGTTCTCGGGGGCAAAACAACTGTTTTGTTCTGTGGTCCCTGCACTCTCCAGAAGTTGAATTATTTGGACCTATTTACACTTTAGGGGCAACGTTCCCGCGAGAGGGAGCCGTTCCCACGCTCTTTGAAGGATGCAAGAGTGGCCGAAGTTTGAAGACCTACGGCATAACCAATTTCCCCAAGAGTCTTCGCCTCTTGGGAGGCTGGTTCGCAGGTTGGCTAGCCTTACTAACCACAAGAGCTGAGCGCCCCAGACGCTTCACTTCCGCTCGGCTGGAGGTCTGCACCACAGAGAGGCAGCCTCCCGGACTTCGCTCCTAGAGCGGCGACGGAAGTTCTCGGGGCGGGGCCTGGGGCGAGTTCCGGCCGCAGTGTGCCGGCGGCCGTGCGGGCTTTGTCGGTATCTGTGTGGGCTTTGTCGGCGGCCTGTGGGGCCGTCGGCGGCTCCGGCGTCGGGCCATTGCAGTCCTCTCGCCACTGGGCACGGGGTGAGTGGCGTGTTACAGGCGGGTGAGGGCTCGGGTCGCCCTGGCCGCGCTTGCTTGTTGCCGGTGGCCTCAGCGTGTCGCCCGGTCCGGGGTTGGAGCCTCAGTCTCCCCGGAGCACCAAGTGGTAACTGCCCGGCTCCACCCGGTGTTGCATGCACTCCTCGCGGCCGGCAGGGATTGCACACCCTGGTCGCCGCGCCCGCGGCTCCGACTTCCATGCGGCGGTGTTCAAGCCACCGCGCCGCCGCCGGGCTGCTGCCCCGGTGTGTGGCGCTGGCTCGGGCGACCCTGCCGTTCTGCTCGGACTGTGCGTGGGCTTCCCGCTCCTGTGCTCTGGATCTGCAGCATCCGTACCGTTGCGCTGCTATGGCGGAGGCCCAAGGGGGATGTGTGACTAGCACAGCCACCTCTGGAGCTTGGGCCCGACGGACAAATCCCAGAGGACGCGAGGTGGTCTGTTACGCTGTCGTAGCTTTTCCCTGAAGCGTCCTTTTCCCCTAGAATTCTATGAATCCTACTGTCGTCTCGCTGCTGATGCTAGGGACGTTTTGCCCCCTTGACACTCTAGCTGTATCACGGTTAAAGTTGCTCAGGGCCTAAGTATGCCAGAGGTTTCCAGGGATGTTAGCTGGGTGCAGGTGCTGAGCTCAGACCTTCTGTTTGTAGACCTCATACTTGAAGCTGCCCTGAGGTACTCGTAGACCTCTCGATCCTCTGAGATCTAGTATCAATGGCGGAGAGAAATAAATGTCTTCTGCCCGCCTAGGATGTGATAGCCATTGTTCTGAGTCTGTAGACAACACCTCATTCCCTGTCCACAGACAGGGGATCTTTGTCCCTGTGAGGGATGTGACATTATACCGAATCTTAATACCTGTTGTAACTTTACAGAACCTACAGAGAGAGACTTCACAATCTTCCGGGCCTTTACTAGAGTTCTGGGGATAGATTCCTGGTTTTCCTAGAATGGTCTCAGTGACGGTAAGGAGAGAGGGCAGAGCTGGGAAGGCTCTGACAGCACTCATGAGCTCAGCTGTTGATGGAGAGGTCAGGGAAGTAATGATAGTAGAGCAAGGTGGCACCATTGAAGCAATTCAGGGAGCCCTGAGTGGTGCCTTAGGTCGTGGAAGATGGCTGGTAAAAGAATACTGGGATTGTCAGGAAAAGAAAACCCTCATCAGTGCCTTTGGGTGAGCTCTAGGAGCAGCTGCTGGGGTTAGAAGTCAAATGACCTGGGAGAGCGGTTAGACTGCACCGGGAACTGATGATTGAACCTAGGGACTTTGTACTGAGCTACATCCCCAGCTCTTCTTACTGATTTTTTTTTTTTTTTTTAAATTTTGAGACAGTCTTGCTAAAGACTGTCTGGGCTCAAACTTTTTGTCCTGTTGTCTCAGTCTCCCAGAGTACTGGAGTTACAAAGTGCATCGCCATGCCCAGTGAGCTGGCTTCACTTCTCTTTGCCCTTGAGCAAGTTGCCTCACAGATCCTCATGGATGGTTATACAGAGAACATGAGAAGACTTCACACACCTTGCCTAGTGTCTGATATGCACAGTGCTCAGATGCCTCCATGACTGCGGTGGCAAGTGCACAGGCTTCTGATGGAGCTCTCTAGCTCTGCTTTTGTTTTTCTTAAGGGTGAAACTCAGCAAACCTTTCTTCTCCTTTTCTTTAGGACATGAGCAACAGGTGGTGACTGAGAGCCAAGGCTGGAATGTCCCTTTACCGGTATGGGTGCAAAATCTGAGCTTCTAGTGCTATAACGGGCATCTTCTGAGCACCCAGGGCAAGTGCTGCTGGTGCACAGCTTTGGGTGTGCATTTAGACCATTTCATGTAAATTTTTTTCCCAGCAGATTCCATATTTTATAGTAGAAAAGGGTCATATGGGGCCAGAAGCCTGGCATAGGTTTATATTCACTGAAATTATTTTAAATGAAAAAGTATTGATTTAATTATATTTGTATTCATAGAAGTAGAAGCTAAGCAGAAATACAAGATTTCTGATTTTAATCAAGTGTGGTAGCACATTGGGATAATCCCAACATTCAGAGCTTGAGGTAAGAGGATCACAAATTCAAGCCCAGCCTGGACAACTTGAGACATTGTCTTAAAAAACGCCTGGAGATGTAGCTCAGTGTCAAGATCCTGGGTTCAATCGCTAGTCACCCTCCAACCCCTGCAATTGTTAATTTTGAGACAAAAGTTTTTCTTTCTTCAATAATGATTTTATTTGTTCATTCATTTGGTGAGGCTAGAGATCAAATTCAGCCTCAAGACAAATGTTTCTTCAAAGCAGGAAATATTCTTTTTTTAGGGGGAGGGCAGATAGGGTCTCACTTTGTCATGCAGGCTGGACTTGAACTCACGGTTCACCTGCCTCAGCCCTCAAGTGCTAAGATTACAGGCATGTGCCACCATGCCCAGTAGGAATATTCTATTTTAAACACTTCCTCTAAAGTTAAAAAAAAAAATTTATGTGAAAACCATTTGGAGGCACACAAATGGTCTTAAGCTATACTCTAAAGATGCAAGCTTGTTTGCAGGTAGTGTCATTTAAAAAATAAAAAGCAACTGGGAGCAATGGCATACACATATAATCCCAGCTATTCAGAAAGCTAAGACTGGATATAAATTCAAGACCAGCCTGGGCCACTTAAACAAGACCCTGTCTCAAGAATAACATAAAGAGCCAGGTGTGGTGTTGGCAGGCCTGCATTACAAAGTGAGACCCTTTCTCAAAAAAAAAAAAGTATAAAAAGAGTTGGAGATGTATCTCAGTGGTAGAGCACTTGCCTAGTATGGGCGAGGGCCTGGGTTCAATCCCCAGTACTGCAAAGGAGGAAAAAAGTCATTAGGTATCACTGACTTCCAAAATGAGAGACTGTACCTCCACCTCACTCTCAGCACCTTCTTTTTATTATTTATTTTTGGTTTTTTTGAAACAGGGTCTTACTATCTAGTTCAGACTGATCTTCAACTCACTATGTAGCCCAGGCTGACCTCAAACTCAAGGCGATCATCCTGCCTCAGCCTCTCAAGTGCTGGGATTATAGGTGTGCGCAACCATGACTGGTTCCCTTTTTAAATTTAGAGAAGTGGTGATGCTTAACATATAAAACTACTTTCCAAATACTAATCCCAGCTGATCTCTAAGCAAAGTATCCTGTAAAAGTGACATTACACTTGGGAAAGAAAAGAAATTTCTCAGAAAATGGACATCAGAGGCAGACAGATCTAATTTGAATTTAGCTCTAACTTTTACTGGTTCAATGACTCTGTATGATTTACTTTCTCTCTTAGTCTGTTTCCTCTGTCAAGAGATAAAACACCTAGCCTCTGAGGAGGGGAGGCGTGCCTGAGCCAATGCAGGTCTTTTGTTCAGCATAGTGCCTGGCTGAGCTTTGAGGGCCTGATGAATAGTCCCTCCTTCTTTCTGGGGTTCTGAAGTGGTTGAGGCTCACCAGTAAGGCATGTAAAGAGCAAACATTCACCTTTTTACTAGCCATAGGCTAGGTTGGAGAGACATTGGACTTCTTCAGACTAAATGCCAGTTACACTGATGTCCACTGGTTGGCAGCACTGTATAGCTTCTGTCTGTCCTCATGGGTGTTTCCCTGCTTAAAACTCAAGACTTTGGGAAGCAAAGCAGCATATGTACCTCTGGAAACAGCTGGCTTGTAAGAGGAGTAGAATGCCTACCTGAGGTAGAAAGCCTAGCTATTGTCCTAAGCATTTAATTCTGTCAACTCATCACCTGTCCTGGGGATGGATGCTGACTTTGACATGGTGGGGAAGAGGAGAGCATTATGATTTTGAATAGGAAAAAAAACAACAGGTTTATGCTTTTTAAGGGTCATCCTGCTGGCTGTGTGGAAGAGAGAGAAAGGAGACACGAGGCAGGTTCATGGGCCTGTGTCAAGAAATGATGGTGGAAGGTATGTTGGAAGTTTGTAAGTGAAAGCTCAGCTTACAGGTCTGCAATGGATTGAATATGGAGTGTGAACAAAGAAAAGTGAGACAAGGACTCTTGCAATAATTGTGGCCTGAGCAAATGGAATGTTGGAGTTCTTACTATAGAGTGACAGATTTAGAGAGAAAAATCAGAAGTTTGACACATTAGGTCAGAAGTTTGACACAATGTATGTGAAAAATGTATGTGAAAGGTTTGAAAAGATTCAGAGAATATCCAGGTGAAGGTATCACAATTAGAGCTAGTCAGGGGTAGAAGTTAGGAAGATGGTTAGGCTACAGATAGAATGCATATTTCAGCAGTGGCTGTCTCCTAAAATGGGTGTGCTCATCTCCAGAGTGAATGGGGATAGAAAGTGGTACATGACAGGACTCTGGTGTCATCAGTGGATACCCTGAGGGAGTAGTCAGTGAAGAAGGGAGAGAGCAGGCCAGGAGAGGCTGTCCCAGAAACCCACTGACAAGGTGACTCAGAAGAAGAGGAGTTACTGGCTATCAGCCTCTGCCAGTAGTTTTGTTGGGGGGTAGGGTGCTGTGGCTGGCCTGGCTGGGTGACATGGTGGACTGTTGGGGTGTAAGTCTGATTGGAGTAGGTTTAAAGATGTAAAGGATGAAGAAACAAGTCCAGTGACCCTGTGAGGGTTGCTATAGAGAAGTAGAGTAATGAAGTAGTACTTGGAGGGAATAGGGCCTAAGAAGTGAGGGTTTTTGTTTAAAATCTTTCAGAACATTCTTTGTTCTGTTTTATGGTACTTGAGATCAAGTGAAGCAAGCACTCTACTACTGAGCTATACCTCCGGCCCAGTTTCTTTTTGAGACTGGGTCTCACTTGTTACCCAGACTGGCCTTGAACTTATAGCTCAAGTGATCTGCCCACTCCGATATCTAGGATCACAGGCATGCTGCAAAGTTAGATTTTTAGGTGGGAGAAGTGCTGTCATTGCTGTATGTGATGGACCTTGGGCTGCTAAGATAGAAGGGAGCTCATGATTTTGTAGAGGACATAAATAATGGCAGGAAGAACTGGGAGGGGAGGGGTCTAGAGCACAGCGACAATTTAACTCAACAGAAGGGAGAGCAGATGGGTACAGATGTAGGTAGGTAGATGAGAGAAAGTGGACATTTCTGTCTCATCAGTTCTATTTTTCTCATCGAAACTTGAATCAGGGTCATCAGCTGAGGGGCAGGAGGGATGTTGCACATTTAAAAAGAGGAAAACCAGGAGAGTTAGGGAAGTATAGCTTTCGGAGCCATCAAGTAGAGCTGTAAAATGTGGCTTACTCCAGTCAGCAAGAGTGCAGACAGGTTAGGAAGCAAGCCAAATCTAACCTACACACTGCAGAAGGAGAAAGTACAGGGGAGTTGGGGGTATATGAAGAGGATGATTATACAGGTATCCCTCAGTTCCACAGATACCAAAATCTGAAGAGCCACAAGTCCCTAACATGAAATGCTGCAGTATTTGCATGTAACCTATGCATAGCCTCCATGTGCTGTAAATCATCTCTAGGTGACTTGCCATACCTAACGCAGTGTAGTTTTTGTTGTTGTTATTATTATCATCATCATTAGGGAACAATAACAGGAAAAAGTCTGTATGTGTTCAGTGCAGACAATTTTTTTCTTCCAGTGTTTTTGATACAGAATTGTTCAAATCACAGATATAGAACTGAGGTGTGCAGGGCTGAATTCTGGGTGGTTAGAACTGTGCCGAGGAGTTCTGAGCAGGAAGCAGAGACCACTGTAGCCACTGTAGGCAGCAATGGCTTTGGTCTAGGGAACTAGATGACAAAACCACTGGAAGGGCTGCAAGACTGGAAGTCAGGAGGTCCTAACTGGATTTGGTTCCTGGGTGAGCTGTAGCTCCTGTCAGTGCTAGGGCTATGTGTAACATGTAACCTCAAGTAAATGCAGTACCATGGATCACAGTAGGTGGGGACTAAAAGCAAGATACGGAGGACTAGGAGGCGTGGTGGTATATGCCTGTAATTCCAGCACTTGGGAAACTGAGGCAGGAGGATTGCCATCAGTTGCAGGCCAGCCTGGGGTACATAGCAAGATACTATTTAAAAAAAAATTTTTTTAAAAGATATGAAGAAGTAAGAGACAGTGATCAGGTGGTAACACTGATAAATTTTAGTGTTCCCACTTAGAAACATGGATCTTGATTTTTGGGTAGGGTCCAAGTTATATCCCTGACACTGCCTCACATTCAGGAGGCACAGAGGGTCAGCAGAATGCTGTGTACTACAGAGTTGGACATGTCAGATAGAGAGCCACAGAGAGATTTCCCAAATGAGGATGGCTGTTCGAGCTAACTGTGGGGTCAGGAGTGTGGGCAGAGGAAACAGTTGAATCCTTCATGTGCTTCAGTAGCTCCTTGTTAACAAAGGGGAAAAACAATCTTCTTCTTGTTTCAGATTCTGCTGCAGAACGAGATGGTGATGAGAAGGTGACTCCAAAGCTTGAATTTCTGAGGATGAAAATTCCCATAAGATGATGTCAGACAGACTCACAGTAATGGAGCACCCTACCTCTGAGTCTAGAGAAGTCCATGAAGCCAGATTAGGGCAGCTATTGGGAAACTCAGAAGGGCAGAGCCTAGGAAGTCCCCCCTCTCAGGAGGATGGGTTCAAACAAGTTACAGTGACCCACTGGAAAATCCAAACAGGAGAGACAGCCCAGGTGTGTAGTAAGCCAGGGAGAAACCCTATTCTGAACCCAAATCTTCTTATACTTCAAAGGGAGCTTGTAGAAGGGGAGTCTCATCCCTGTGGTATTTGTGGTAAAAGTTTCTCATTTAACTCAGACCTAGTTAAACATCAAATTTCTCACACTGGGCAGAAACCTTATAAATGTGAACATTGTGGGAAAGACTTCAGTCAGGCCTCACACCTTGTAGAGCACCAGAGAACCCACACTGAAGACAGATTGTATGTGTGCAATGTGTGTGGGAAAGACTTCATTCACTACACAAATCTTGCTGAGCACCAGCAAGTACATACGGGAGAAAAGCCATTCCGATGTGCTCAGTGTGGGAAAGCATTTTGTCACAGCTCAGACCTCCTTCGGCACCAGAGAGTTCACACTAGAGAAAGACCTTTTGAGTGCAAAGAGTGTGGGAAAGGCTTCAGCCAGAGCTCCTTACTTATTCGCCATCAGAGAATTCACACAGGTGAAAGACCTTATGAGTGTAATGAGTGTGGGAAATCTTTTATCAGGAGCTCCAGCCTTATTCGACATTACCAAATCCACACTGAAGTAAAGCAGTATGAGTGCAAAGACTGTGGGAAGGCCTTCCGCCACCGCTCAGACCTCGTCGAGCACCAGAGGATTCATACTGGGGAGAGACCCTTTGAGTGTAATGAGTGTGGGAAGGCCTTCATTCGAAGTTCAAAACTTATTCAGCATCAGAGAATTCACACTGGAGAGCGGCCTTATGTCTGCAATGAGTGTGGGAAGCGCTTCAGCCAGACATCCAACTTCACTCAGCATCAGAGAATCCACACTGGGGAGAAACTCTACGAGTGTGATGAATGTGGGAAGGCCTTCTTCCTGAGCTCATATCTTATCCGGCACCAGAAAATCCACACTGGTGAGCGGGTATATGAATGTAAAGAATGCGGGAAGGCTTTTCTGCAGAAAGCCCACCTCACAGAGCATCAGAAGATCCACACTGGGGACCGACCATTTGAGTGCAAAGACTGCGGGAAAGCCTTCATCCAGAGCTCTAAGCTGCTGCTCCACCAGATTGTGCACACCGGGGAAAAGCCCTATGTGTGCAGTTTCTGTGGGAAAGGCTTCATCCAGAGGTCAAACTTCCTCCAACACCAGAAGATGCACACTGAAGAGAAGCTGTATGAGTGTAGTCAGCTGGGAGAGGATTGTACGCCACCCCCTGACTTTATCCACCAGGAGGGCCTTTCCCTAAGTGAGACTCCTACATGTTTAGATGAGAGGTCCACAGGGCAGGAGGGTCACATGGATAACTTATGATCACTCTAATTCAAGAGAGTGGTGTTTAAAGGTGGGTGGAATTAGGGTTGTTGTTGCTTTGGACGTGTCAGTTTCCTTAATCATGGAGGGGCTGTATTTAGAGTGGTCTGGTGCCTACCAGTGGACAGCTGGCTTTGAGCTGGAACAGGTTAGAGGAAGAAAAGTTTTCTGTATTGTATTCACAAATACAACCCACTCTTGAGTTCAGTCCTTTCAGAGCAGAGCTTTGAATTTAGTCTTTTACTTAAGAGAGGGTTGCCTGTGAGGCTAGAGAAGATTATTCTCATGCAAAACCCATACTGGGTTCTCTGTTGTCCTGGGGATGACCCCCAAGCCCCCATGTTCTGTGTCCTGAGGTTTCTATCTCCTTAACTGATCAGTTCCTGGCCACACAGTTGTGTCCCACTTCTCACTCCACACTGCTCTGCTGAATAACTCATCTTGCAAGGCTCTGGCATCTTGTCAAGGAACATTTCCCTTGCACTTAGCCAGCAAGTTTTCCACACTTTTGAGGCTCAGTGCTTATCTCTTACTACTGAATTATGAATTATTTCTTGTTACACTCAGTTCCTTGATAGTGATGATGTCCTGATTGGTTCATACATCCCCAGTGCCTAATGTGCATCCATAAAAAACACCCCCACATCTGTGTAATTGGCAGCTCTCTTGCTTTGTCCTTTCTGTATTGCTATTTTTTTGAGGAGTATTTTTGTGTCAGTATGATCTAGTTTACTGGACATATCTTCTCTCCTAGACCCCTTAATGCCTTCTGCTCCTGCCTGAGAGTTGCTGAATTACTTGCTTATATTGGCCCCCTCACATTGCTGCCTGCAGCCTCACCTGGAACTGCCTACTGCCCTTAATGCCCCCAGGTACTTGATGGGTACACAACCCCAGTGTACTGCACAACTTCGTTCTAGCTCATTTTGTCTTTTTGGGGGGGTGGGTAGTTCTTATGTCTTAATCACTTTTCTTGTCAGTGAGATATCATATCTGATAGCCACAGCTTAAAGGTGGAGAGGTTTATTTTGGCTCACATTTTGAGAAGTTTCACTCCATGTTCCATAGGCTCCACAGAAGAAATGGCATAGTAGAAGGGCTTAGCAGAGGAAAATTGCGTATGTCATAGAGGCAGAAAGCAGAGAGCAAAAGGAGGAGCCAGAGAGGGAGAGAACACCCTTCCAAGTTATGTCCCCATTGACCTGCCTTTAACCAGACCCCAACTCATAACACCACACACTGAAGAGTATAGCGCCCTCATGTTCTAATCACCTTCCAAAAGCCCCACTACTGAGCACATGAGAGTTTTGGAGGACATCTTAAATCTAAACCATAACACAGCAGCTCCAAGATTGACTCAACTCCTGACAATTAGTTGCCCTCTGCTTCACATTATCACTCATTTGAAAAGGTACTGTACTGAGATCTATAAGGAATAGTTCTGGATATTGGGAAAGTGAGAGGAAGAGGCCATCTGCACTACAGTAGTGTGGAATGCCGTGGGGAAGACATGATGTTACAGTGAGTAAAGTGCCAAGATAGGGAGAAGTGTGCTCTAGGTCTTATAGGAACATTAGGAGGTGACTAGCAGCATGGCAGATCTGGGAAGACTTCACAGAAGAGGTGACATTTGAACTGGCTCAGAGGCTAGTGGGTGCTTTCCACTAGCGGAGAAAAGATGATCTGGGAGAGGGAGCTCTACATATACAGGCAGGCTCAACAGACTGCTGCTTGGTTGGGCAGCAGAGCAGGCAGCTTTGGCACATGGCAAAGTCCTTTCAGCAGGACTGCTTACCTTGGCCTTTGATTTTTTCTTCATCTGAATGTTAACTGAAACAACCAGCTTTGAGATGATTTTAAAAACAATTTTTTTTTTGGCCTATAAAGGCATATTTTGAATTCTTATCAAATCCCAACAACCCTTGAGGGAACAGAGTTCAAAAGAACATACAATATCCACTTTGTGAAAAACTTACTAGAGATGTTTCACATGTAGAGAAATAGGTGATATGAGACCATTTTAATCAGTACAACAGAATGTGTACTTTGAATGTGCAGAGCTTTGGGAAATACCTAAATCTGTGTATCCACCATGCATAATCAAGATAAACAAATTTCCACCTAAAAGTTTTCTTTCCCTTTCCCATCAGCTCACTGCCCCCCCCCCCACAGTAACCACTTTGTGTCAGTGTAGATTAGCGTTGCTTGTCTTAGAACCTCACACATGTGGATTCGTGTGGACTCGAGTGTCTGAATTCCGACCCTTCAGTGTGTTTTTAGGTTCAACCACATTTTGTGTTTTGGTAGTTCTTGTTGCTAAAACCCCATTGTATAGAGAAATTACCATTTGTTACTCATTGATCTGTTTATGGAAATAGGCTTTCCAGTTTTGACTCAAGAATTAAATTTGCTGGGATTTGTAGTTTAGTGATAGGGTCCTTGCATGGCATGCATGAGGCCCTGGGCTTGATCCTTACTGTTTCAAAAAAGAAAAAGAATTGTTAGCCAGGTGTGGTCACATGTGCCTGTCACCTATCTACTTGGGAGGCTGAGGCAGGAGGATTTCAAGTTAAAAACCAGACTGGACAACTCAGTAAGACCCTGTCTAACAAGGGCTGCAGATGTACCTCAGTGCTTCCTGGGTTTAATTCCCAGTATTACCAAAAACAACAAAAAAAAATAAAACTGTTATGAGCATTTATGTGTTCATTTGCACATGTTTTTATTTCTCTTGGGCAAATACATTTATTGCTAGGTTATAAGACCTTAGTTCATTTAAGAGACTAGCCAAAAGGGCATGAACTGGGTGGCTAATAAAGGACAAGAATTCATTTCTCACAGTGGTGGAGGCTGGGAGATCCAAGGTACGGGTAGATAGGGTGTCTGGTAAGGGCCCTCTTCCTCTGTTGATGAATGTCTTCTCACTGTAACCTCACATGGCAGAAGGGGTCTAGGGGCCTTTCGCCCTCACAGGGGCATAAATCCCATCCCTGAAGGCTTTGCCCTTGTGGTCTGATAACCTCTCAAAGGCCTCATCTCTTCATACTGTCACATTTGGGGTTAGGATTTCAGCATGAGTTTAAGGGTTATGTAAAAAGTCCACTGTAGTGTGTTTTAACATTGTAAGAAACTGCCATAGAGGTCTCGTGGTCGTACTGTCTCACCTTCCTGCTGCACTGTGACACCACTGTTGCTTTCAGGCCTGGCCAACACATTATATTGTCAGTCTCTTAAAGCTGACCCTATTCTTCTGTCTAGTTTTAATTTGGACCTGCCTGCTGAGTGCTGCACAACACCTTTCAAGTGATGATTGCTGTTCTATATCACCATTTGTGATGTGGTCACATCTTTTGGTCTGTCTCAAGTTGGATTCTCTTACCAACTTGTAAGAATCATTCCCATACTCTAGAGAAAGCATCTTCAAATACATGTTTATTATGAATATTTTCTTAGTGTCTTCGGCTTGCCTTGTCATTTTCTTGGTGGTGTTTTTGAAGATCAGATTTTAAAATTTTGAATAAGTCCAGTTTACCAAAAAAAAAAAAAAATTTTTTTTTTCTTTTTTTTGAGATAGGGTCTCACTATGTAGTTCAGGCTGGCCCTGAACTCACTATAGCCTAGGCTAGCCTCGAACTTGGAATGATCCTCCTGCCTCAGCCTCCAGAGTGCTAGGATTACAGGTGTGCACCATCATGCTTGGCTTTTTTTCACCTGCCTTCCTCCCTTCCTCCCTTCCTCTCTTCCTTCCTGAGACAAGGTCTCGATATGTAGTTTATGCTGGCCTTGAACTCACTGTGTAGTCCAGACTGATTTGTGGCAATCCTGCCTAATTCTCCTGAATGCTGGGATTACAGGTATGCCCAGCAATCAAAATCCTTTATAGTTATGATTTTCTTCATACTACTGGGGATTGAACCTAGGGCCTTCATAATAAGTTACACTCCCAGCCTTTTTAAATTTTGTGAGATAGGGTCTCAGGACTTGCTCGGGCTGGGCTTGAACTTGATGTCCTCCTGCCTCAGCCTTCCAATATGTTGGGATTACAAGTATGTACCACCTTGCCTGTCTTATAGTTAAGATTTTTAAGTTTTAAGAAACAGTTGCCTATTCAAAGGACATGCATTTTTATTTCCCCTCAAAGGACATGCATTTTTATTTCACCTCTATTTTGAGAGGTGTGGATGTGTGGTCTGTATGGATGTGGTGTCCTAACTGAACCCAGAGACTTAGACATACAGTACTAAGCAAGTGCTTTGCCAATAAACGAAATCCTCAGACTCCATTTGTGTGTGTGTGTGTGTGTGTGTTAGGAAGATTGAGCCCAGGCCCAGACCCTCAGACTTTTACAATTTTTTTTTTAAGACAGGATTGAGTTCAAGGCCAGCCTGAACTATGTAGTGAAACCCTGTCTCAAACAAATAAAAGTAACTTAAAAAGACAGGATCTTGCTAAACTGCCCATGCTGGCCTTGTGCTCTTGCCTCAGCCTCCCAAGTAGCTGGGATTATAGGAATGCACCACCACATCTGGCTTTGAGTTCATTTTTTGTGTATAACATGCAGTGAAGATCGATATTCAGGTTTTGTCTATGTGGATAGTTTGTTTTTTTTACCATTTGTTGGGATACTATACTTTCTCACTGAATAAACTTCCACACTTTTGTAAAAAAAAAAATAAATGATTATGTGTGAATGGTTTGTTCCTTTGCTCTTGTCCATGTATTGTCACCCCACTCTGACACTATCATTTTGCAATACATGTTGAAATCAGGTATTGGAAGTGCTCCAGTTTTTTCTTTTCCAAATTTTATCTTAGGTCCTTTACATTTCAGTGTAAGTTTTAGCATCAGGTTGTCAATTTGTACAAAAAGGAAGCTTGTCTGGGATCTGTAGATCAGTTTAGATAGAAGGGAAGGGGGAAAAGTTGAAATGTGTTATGGACATTACCAGTTCCCCAATGAAAGCAATCATGTACTGTAAACATATACTACCAATAAATTTTAGAAAGTCTGAAAAATTGTCCAGGTATGATGGTGCACACCTGTAATTCCAGCACTCAGGAGGCTGAGGCAGAAAGATTGTGAGTTTGAGGCCAGCCTGGGCTACAGAGTTGAGTTCAAAGCCAGCCTGAACTGCATAATGAAACCCTGTCTCAAAAGGAAAAAAAAGTCTGAAAAAAAATCAGTATTAACATTTTAACAATTCTAAGTTTTCCTTGAGCATAGTATACTGTACTTAGTTTCTCTCACATTATAGGTCTTTCATATTTTGTTAAACTTTTGGGTTCCATATGTCCATGTGTATAATTGTTTAAAAAGCTATTTTTCAATTATATCTGCTAGTGTACAGAAATTAATTAGTTTTCTGTTTTGATCTTGTATCCACCAACTTAGATCAATTCACATATTTCAGTAGCTTTTTTCCTAGATTTCTCAGTGTTTTCTGTATATATAATCATGTCATCTGCTTGTTAAGAATCTTTCTTGCTGGGCATGGTCGCACATGCCTGTAATCCCAGCACGCGGAGGCTGAGGCAGGAGGATCATTCTGAGTTGGAGACCAGCCTGGGCTACAAAGTGAGCTCAAGGCCAGCCTGAAGTGCATAGTGAGACTCTGTCTCAAAAAGGCAAAAAAAAAAAAAAAACCAAAGAATTTTTTTTCCAATATATATCAACTTTTTTTTCTTGTCTTATTGCACTGACTAGATTTATTTCACTTGTTTAGTTTTGCTGGTACTGGGTATTGAAGTGAGGGCTCTGGCACCAAGTTTTGTTTCCATTTTTGTTTTTTTTTTAATGTTTTCTGAGAAAGGGTGCCATTTAAGTTCAGTCAGGATCAAACTTGTGATCCTTCCACCTCAGCCTCCCAAGAGCTGGAATTACAAGCATGTGCCACTGTGCCTATCTTTTTTGGGGTGAGGGGGCGGTACCAGAAATCGAACTTGGGACCTTGCACTTGGCCAGGCAGGTGCTGTGCTGCTGAGCTATATATATCCCCAGCCACTGTGCCTATCTTAAAATTTTCACTACATGTGGTATAGTACCTTCTCAGTTTGTCTTGTTTTGTTACTAACATAATGTTACTTTCAAAAACATCCACACTGGAGTTGTTTGTGTAATAATGATATATTTCTTCGTTAATGTTTGATTCCATCAGTGAAACAGTGGGACTTTAATTGTGGGAAAATTTTTTTTAATTGCAGAATCAATTTCTTCAATAGATACAGTGGTCAGATTTTTTGGTTTTCTGCACAAACTTTGGTAATTTTTTTATCTTTCAAGGAATTATTTCAGATACAGGAGTTATTGGCATAAAGTTGTTCAGAACCTTCCATTAAAGTAATGTACTGGGGATTGAACCCAGGACCTTCACACTGAGCTATATCCCCAGCTCCCTTCCCCACTTTTTTTGAGTCAGGGTCTCATTAAATCATTTAAGCTATCCAGGCTGGGCTCAAACTTGCCATCCTCCTGCCTCTGCCTCCTGCGTGCTGGGATTATAGGAGTGTGCCACCATGCCCAGCAAAAAAAGACTTAACTACATTTGCTGTCTATACTTTTCCCACATCCTAATAAAGACCCCTATCTATATCCTAATGATCTCATTCCTCACTTGGAAACTGGCCTACTGCCCCAGTTGAATAAAGTTTTATCTTTACTCTTAATCTCACCCTGGTAAATTCTTCACCCACCCATGTCATTAGCCCTTTTTACACTGTCTCCTATGGCAAGCACAGTCTTTACTGTCTGCATGCCTGTCAGCATCCTGGTCTTCTAATCTCCCACCAGAATTGCCTGCCAAGCCCCACTTACAGCCTTCTAGGCTTCGTCATGATTCTTTAAACTTTTTCAAACGCCTCCCACAAACCATTTCCAAAGGCTTCTGAACTACATTGTCAGATATAGTCACAGTAACAACCCCAGTTCTCAGTACCAATTTTCTGTGTATGTCAGTGGGATAAAATACCTCACAAAGGAGGTTGATTGCAGCTCATGGTTTCACGGGTTTCAGTCCATGGCCTGCTAGCTCCAAAATAAACATGGCTTCTGTGGTGGAGGAAAGCTGCTCACCTTACTAACGGACAGCTAAGTTAGGTAAAAATTAACAGGCAAACAGAAAGGAATAGGACCCTCAAGGGAGTCACTACAAAAGATGAGACACATCGCTATTGCAGCTGGAGACATCTGAAGTGAGCCAGGCCTCAAGCTTTTCTAGTGATAAACAGCAGCTTGAGATGGTGCCACAATTGCTACCATCTGGTCCAGTGAGCCCAGATAGTAGGCCAGACACATAGATGGGTGACAGAATACCCTGACCTGTACTCCCATCCCCTTCTAAGAAGGCCTTTGTTTTTTGTACAGTAGAAGATAAGCTGAAGTTAATG